GACTTATTAAAATTTTGTCAAGGTACGTCTTGAACATGAATTAAAATACTAAAGAGCTTTTTTAGAACAAATTTTCGCTGCCTAACATTAAAATCAAAAATAACATGAGTCGTCGTGACAGGGAATGAACTTCGTTGGGCAATTTCCTAAACCCTTATAAACGCATTATTCAAATAATAGATATAGGTATAAAGGAAATTATCACGTTACATAATGCTGCCGGAAATTCAAGTTTCAATTATTTGCTATTTAAATAATGGTTGGATGATCACATGATGGCATGATTACTGCAATATATGCCCCGTGTGTTCGCAACTTTAATACACAGCCGGCTGTATGCGAACCAAGCATTAAAGTCTCCAGACACGCTCGATATGACCGGTCGACATTGTGTTATTTAAAAGCAATTTTTACTACAAATTTTATCCTGCATCATTTCTACACAATTTAGTAAAGCAATAAACAAATGATTATGTCTTGCAGGAAATATGCCGGTCTACATGTTTCTATAACACTGGTCTACCGTTTTCTACGTATGTGTATGAGGAACGTGATTTATATATTAAGGAAATATGTACATCAACCAAATTTTATAATACTTTTAATATGGTCCATTTTTATCGTTACCAATTTTCTAATCAGCGAATGAAATTGTTTCCTTACTTCGGATTTTGACTTTATTTTTTCTATAGATAGTTTTATAGTTATCGAAAAAATATTATAGTTAAAAAAAAAAATAAACGATTTTCTAGCCAGAAAAACAAATTTTTGTCCTGTTCTAGATCTTATAAATAATAATAAATGGATATAGATAATAATTTATCACGGCCGCGTTGTTTTATTCACGAGTGAATTTTAGTAAACGAAACAAATTAAATTCTGACCAATCAAAATTTTTATGCAAAATATAAATTTTCCACGTAGGGAATTTTCACGGGTCCAGTGAAACTGGTGTTAAAAGTATGAGCAGATGTTAGTTCTACTCGTAAAGTAGATTTTGAAATGTAGGACAAGCGTACTTTCTTCAGTTCTGTATGGAAAGGCTCGTAAGGATTTCGCAAGAAATTGCTTTATAGAATACAGGATAACATCGCAATTAACATAAACTAATAGCATTTTTATCTGATTTCGATCAAGGGAGTAGTTTTCAAGTAAACAAAAGCAGGTAAGAAATTCGTGTATTCCGATTTTTGTAAAGTCGTTTACGAAAGTGAAAAATTGCATAATAATACGCAATTCAGTTTTTGCATTCAAAATTAATCCTTTTATAGATCATATTCATCTTTTTGCAAATAAAATTTACCTTTGTGCAGGTCTTATTCACCTTTTATATTATATAAATATTATATTATATATATTGTATTAAATTTAAAAATTGAATAAGATTTTATAAATAATTATTGAAGATATAGAAAGATCAATTATTTGCAATGAAAGTTTTATTTTATAAGTAAGCATATAATTCCTATTAAATAAAAAATTTGGATAATAGACGGTTAATTTGGATCTGCGAGAGTGTTAATTTTATTTGCACAAGCAGTTGAATTTAATTTGCAAAAGGATGAACGAAAACCCCGAAAGGTTTAATTTGATTTGCAAGAAGGTGAATGTGATCTACGAAAGAATTAATTTTTAGCACAAAATCTACAGAATCGTTGCGCACATTTTCTCGAAGCGAGAAAACTGTTTAACATTTAATTTGTCCAGTTTTTTAGAACAGAGAAGCAAAGGATTATTGAAATAAGCGACAAGAAAGTGTTCGACGTCGACAGAAGATTGGATTTCCAACTAGTATATAGAAAGTTCCCGGTTTTCATGAATCAAACGAATGGAAAAAGCGTGGCCGACGTTGAAAATGAAACCTCGTCTGCATAATTTTTCGCGTCACGCTCGCAAAACACGAAAGTTCAATTAACCAGAGAGACAGAATAAAATAACACGCTTCAAGTGAGCTGATGTTGTATCTTCTAAGAGAAAATTGATCGTAAATTAGAACTACAGCTCTTCGATCACGAAGTTCAGTTACCCTATTGTTTGAGGATACCGATTTGATTATTTCGCAAGTTGGATCTGTGCAGTATTCCCACGTAGCTTTCGTTTTTTTCAACAGAAACTAACTACATACATATTTCCTCGGTCTCTTTTCACGGAACGATTTTCCAATGACTAGGTATGCAGTTGTACTCATTGTCAGTCGGAACGAATCCGTACACGAAGAACTGATTTTTTACGGCGAATGTAAATTACGAGAGCAGTCACCTACATTTATGTATAATAAGTATAAACCGATTTTCCGAATTTAAAATACATTCAATCGCGTTTCTAATATAACTAAAGTTTCTATTCAATTAATTAATTCAAACTACGTTTTCCAATTCGATAACGAATTAATTATTGTGAAACGTTACAATTCATTAAGATAAATATAAATCTAATTTTTTATTTTTTCGAGTAGAAACATATAATTGTGCTTTTCACTATTATAAGTGTTAGTATTTTTATTTTAGTTTTGGTATAATTAGAATTAGAATTAGGAATAAAAAGTAAAGAAGTAAAATAATGTATACATTATTAAAAATAAACGTGTTTCTATTAAAAAATTTTGTAAACGTTCAAAGAGATGTTATTAAATTTTTTGAGTGCATATATTTCGGATATGACTTGATCGTATTATTAAAGACCACTATGAGTTCAAATCAAACATAAATAACGAGAAGCATGTGCTAAATAACTAGAGTCTCGAGAAACTGAAACAAAACAAGAGATTTAAATTCGACAATATTATTTCATTATAATTCCTATTAAATTCCTGCTTCTATTTTAATCAGCCTGTTTTAATCGATCAAGTGGATAAACAGGCACCGTGCGATAGCGTGTATGTAAAATTAAACTCGTTCAGAAACTTTCACGGAAGTGCTTTGTGCGGATTTCCGCGCTCTTTTGTGAAAAGAGTCTCTCTCGACCGTCGCTCTCGATTCGAAGCGTTTCAAATCCAACAAAATTTCATCACGAGATTAATTACTGTATCCGTCGTATCAAAGAATATCTTCATCTATTTACTCTTGCGGAATATATAAAATCCATCCGATCGTAACTAAAATCAACCATTATTTTCGCATTATAAAACTTTCTTTTTTTTCTACATTCTATTCAAAATTGTGTGCAATAAACTTTCCAGCCAATCTAAAATTATTTTCATAATTTATTGAAATTTTTGATTATATAAATTTGATAATATTTGATAACAAAAAATATGTGTGTCCTCTGTTTTCTTTTTAATTGCTATTTAAATGTTTACGTAATTGATTACACACACTCTCACGAGTGAATGAGTATAGTACACAAAAATTTTTTAAATTGTCGTTGATATATTTATTACTAAAATGGAAAAGCGAAATACAAAATAATAGAAGAAGAACTGAAGAATTATTATGGCATTTATGAAATTTATTAGAACTAATAGGAAAAGGATTTTTGTTAATACTAAATGTACCAAGATCTAGTATGTATTATCTTATAAAAATTACAAGATTGAATTTATTTAAACATTTTAGGATTGTTATAATAGTGCATGAATAATGAAACGTATTTAACTCAAATTGTGCAGATACCGTAATTAATTGTACAGTATATGTTGTCTTGAAAAATAGAAACAGAAATTTTCCGACTATAATTGCACATGTTTATCATTACCGATTGCCAGTGAACTATCCGTGTGGATATTTTTATGCTCTTTTAACGCTGTAAACGCTGTTGCACGCGTAGATACACATAAACACTTTGCATGCAATCGTGGAATCGTGCAAAATAAATATTTCGATAAATCCCACAGTCGATCGTTAAGGTTCGCACATTGTCATAACGTTGCAGCTACACTGATTGAATAATCGCTGACTATGGTCGAGAACAATACTATGCTACGATACGAACAGTAACCACTATGTTCCGGGTTCAGCAACCATATTGAATTGTTTTCGAATTGCACATTTAACAAGGAGTTTTCACGTCGAGAAAAGTGTGACACGATGTACCAAGGTTCGGGAGTTTGAGGGTTTAAATTGATTTTTAGTTGTACATCTACAGGAGAAATAGAGGCAGAATTAATTTCACTTTAAAATTCTATTTCAAGTGTTTCATTTGAATCCTTAATCGTTTCAAAACTATTTTCACTGATTGTTTATATAACCTTAACAAGTTTTAAAATTTTATTTTTTCTTACACATTTATTTTCATACGTTTCTTTCGAAAAATTGTAACATTCCGAAGATTTCAGTCAAATTCCAAACCATGATAGAAGCATAATTCAATTCACTTTGACGTTTAAAAAAAAATCTCTTGCTCGTCTTAACCCTTTGCTCGACTCAACATTGACTTTTGCATTAATACTTTGTTTCCATGATTCACATTATATTCGTGAATAAATTCCGTGGTAAATTATGCAATTACGTGATAGGTGGAACAATTGTAGTATTTCTAGTTCTAGTTAGGTTGCAAAGATACATATGCTTGGATTGCGTTATAGCAAATTCTAATATAAAAGGAAGAAGATACTTTGGAGCGCAAAGGGTTAAAATTGTCACACTATCTCGATGTGAATGATCATCCATCATGTTAAAAACATCTGCTGAAGCACTCATGTTAATCCTACAATAACAACACAAATCTTAATCGAGCCGATAAGTAACATATAAAACTTTTAACCATTAACAAATATCTGAACAGGTGGTATGCTTTGACAACAGCACCCTATTAAGTTATTATACATATTATTATGCGTGAAATGTCAAATCTTCGGTAACAAATTGTAAGTAAAATTCCATTTCACATTCAAAAGCTGAAATCAATCTTGTGACTCATATGTGCGAGCAAGCACATAAAGTATTTAATCTGGTACGAAGTAAAACGGATCGTTGCACAACTCCTGATTATATTTAGAGTCCAAAACAATGCCAACTTATTCATCGTATTTTAACGGAACAAAACATTTATGTTTGTTGCAGCTTCGGACTTGTATTACGTTCACATTTTTATTCATGCAGAAAATGCAAACGAAAATAGCGTTGATTCATACCAAGGTGAACCCAGTCTAGAAGGAAGGTGACACCCCAAATAAAAAAGAATGGAGATCAGATCGCAGAGAACAGGTTCTGAACTTTAGAATGGTACGTGATGTATGTACAAAAACAGACATTTCATATGCGACATCCTTATGTATCACAGAAATAATGTTTGCTCGGAGGTTTTGCAAGAAAATCACGACCATTTAAAAAGTATAAACCAGTGTTTTTAAATCTAAAGCTTTCGTTTCAATTATATTTTCAGAATATTACAATTAATTCTCAAATAGAATCGTTGAGAAATACTGGTTTAAGACCAAACGTACAACGAAAATCATTTCTGATAGAGAAGACTTTGGTAATTTCAAACAAGGTAATTTCAAATAGCGCTAGAAAGGTAACTTTAAGTCAACGCCAGTTTCTAATGCACCTTCAGTTTCCATTCGCAAGTGGAAAGTATTTTATTTAAAAAAAAAGCAAATTTAATACAAAGGAAGGCAGATCGGATCGCAACAAACACGTTACAAACTTTAGAGTAGTACGTGCCGTATGTAAAATCGTAGAAGTATATCTCGACGAAAATACTTGATAACAATAATAATCCGCTACTCAACGGAAGTAACTTTTGTTTATAGAGAAACTTAAGCATAAAATTTCATCCTAGTAGTCCAAACTGGTAGATATCTTCGGGAAGCTTAAACATATCTAACACAAAGAAACAGAGATCGAATCTTAAAGAACTGGTTTTGAACTTTAGTATGGTCCATGCTATAGTTACAAGCATAAAAGTATCTCTTAACAAGAACACTGCATAAGCTGACACTTCAAACACAACAACCTAATATGTCAAGAAAATAAGTTTAAACAGGATTAATACAGATCTACGGCAGGCTTCCATTAAATAATAAAAAATGCAGACCAAATCCCAAAGAAACAGATTCTCATTAAAACTATAACATACACGAACATATTTAACAATGTTTTATAAGTTCTATATTTTACATGCAACAATCTAATGTACAATTCAAATAACATTTCAAACAAGTTTGAGTCGATATAAGCCTTCATGAAACCTCCCACTCTATCGAAAAAACAGAGATCGGTCTTCGGAAAACTGATTTCGAATCTTTTAATAACGTTGTGATATATTTTTTAGTCTCAAATTTTAATCAATGTAGTAACCGGTTTAATAATAACCGGTTTAAAACTTTGACTGCCGCGTTACCCATATGTGGGTGGCAGAATTATCTTCTCAGATATGAAAATTAATTTTTACATTAATCTATTACATCTTCCGCAAAACGTGAAAGTCATTTCTGTTATATAGCTTAACTTTCCAATTTTTATTGGGTTAAATAAAATGCTTCAATTATATGAAATTTTAATTGGCGTGGACGTGAAAGTATTTAACGCTAGAACTACTTAAACGCGACTGATTTGATTTACTCAAACTTCGTACGACATATATATGTGACAGCGAAGAAAATCGACAAATTTCTTCTAAAAATATAGTAACTGTGAAAAAAAAAGAATTGTCTGGTTTGGTAGTTCTAGTGTTAACAGAGAGAACCAATACAGGCCGCCCAGCACAGAGCCTGGAATTTTTTTCTTGGAAAGTACCCTTCGAAAAACCAAAGACAGTTGTTTCGGCCGATTAATTCGCCGACAAACTTCTCGGAGTGCATGCTAACGGAAGTTTCTCGTCGTCAGACGTTCGACTGCTTACCGGTGGTGGTTCCGCGGAAGAGTAAACCTCGCTGGGAGCGTAATTGCTGTGAGGCTGAGCCATCTTCTCGGAGACAACGGCGACGGTCGCTAGGGAATCCGGCTGTTCCTTTTCCATGTTGCCGAGATATCTTTTCAGCACTGTTAGAGCGGATCTCCTTTCTACGACGGCTCCTCGAGGGAACGAAAAATCCTCAGTAAATACTCTGGGAACACTCGATGTCGATCGCTCGGCGAATCGACGAGCAGTGAGTGCTCGGCACCGTCTGACACCGCTAGCTTAAGGTTACCCCCACCGCTTATGAAGCTGGTGAACCTTCTGGTACACCTTTCCGATGGGTACGTCTTCTGGTACCAAGGTGTACCTCATCGTGCTCTCGATGTCGGACTTTCTAAACACCGTGCCGTCGACTGGCATTCGTCTGTGTGCGTGGGTGAGACCGAAATCCGTGTGCCCGAGGACCACGTGTGAGGAATCGCCGCGAATCGCCGATCAACGTTCCTGCATCAACGTTTTATAATGTTTCTCGCGGTGCGATCTGCTGTGGACGAAAGTCGAAAGATCGCTGTTCGATTTTGAACTAATTGTTCAATGAATCTAAACGTTAATTGCCAAAAAAATTATTGGTTACTATTAAATATATCTTGAAACTGCAGATGGGAATAAGTTCAAGTTTTTTACGGTTTTCGATTACTGCTCAAAAACAATAGAGTTTCCAAATGACCGGTCTCACATTTTTTATTCTCAAATTATTGAAATTACGAAGACTCTTTCTTAACACTTTATTTGTCATTAAATGTTAAATAGTGTTTGTTATACCTTAAATATGGAGACTGTGAACAAAAGCATGTGTAATTTTCTTTCACGATTAAGCAATTTCTTTTTCCTTAAAAAATTGATTTGTAAGAACACGAATCGATATATCCTGTAGTTTTGATTGTTCTGTATCAAGAAGATGCTATGTAATTACATGGTCATATAATTTTTTTCTGCCGCAAACTGCTGTTAAGATTTGCAAACTGGATGTTAATATTTATGTGGGAGTATTTCAATTTCCCTTAAAAATTCTTCAAATCCGCACTGTGCGCGTCCCTGTATTCTCTTCCGCCAGCTTCTTCCATCTTCTGACCTGCGATATTGCGCCAACCAGAAGAACCAACTCCGGAATATGATGTCTGTCATTTTAGCATATCGTTGCAGCTCCGACTTTTGCACCTTTTATGCACATTCCTGTGCTTTTAAAACCATAAGTAAGCGTTCATCATTTTCACAAGAACGTTTTTAGAATGTGGGACAACTGAGTCATCGTAAGTACAGTGTCGTCCCACTCGTATCTTCTTTATTTTTGGTTTCAATATTTTCAACATTTAAGACACTGAGCTTAGTTAGCTTGAAGAAGTTAGTTAGGACATCTGAGTAATGAGTTTATGAAATACAAGGAAATCGATCAAAGTTGATAGTATATTTCTATTTTATAATTTCACATTTACTGTCCTGTTCATCGTTCTCGTATTATTTCGCGTATAATAACACTGATCGAACGTGTTAAGAACTTTTTGGGCTTAATTTGTAGAAGCTATACAGAACGTTATAAATATTGAAACATGTTTAAACTGTACGAACTATATATATATGTACACACCTGAAATCTTTCTTAAAATCTATGGTTCTAAGGCAAAATATAATCACATTATATAACATATAAATAATATTTACATGTTCGTGTCGGAATTTGGCATTTCGATCCAAACGTGTATCTTGTTAAAGTTTTTCTTTAATATCGA